GGCATTGATTTCTATAGGTTGTGTTCTCACATATACGGCTCTATAAGACATTATATTGTTCAAATCATTTTTTTAGTATGTAGCTCTGATATTAATACTCAAATTTTTGGATGCTTTAGGACGCAAAACTCTTTTTCTCTGTGTAGCAATTTGGAATACTTTTGATACGGAAACAAAGGATTAATATGTAAAACTGCCAATTACAACTTAGCGAGATACTTTTAACAAAAGAGAACAATTGTGCATTCTATGCACGTATGCGACTACCGGAAGATTGATAACGCGTGAGACACGCGTGCGAGCTTCTTTCCTCTCGATTACATCACGTGGGAAGATGAGCGTGTAGGATGCGTCAACGCGATCGTATGGCACATGAAACGGTGAAAGAGACGGCCGGGCCCCGCAGAGAGAGAACCGGGCCGTATTAACTTTTACATTTAGGCACCACGTCCATACGCGTTTCACGCGACGACGACGGGCGTCGGCGAGTGGGGAGTGATCATAGATGATCACAAATTGTCCGCAATTGGCAGGAAGTCGAGGCAGGGGGACCGTTTGTGCGCCCCTTCGCACTCTAAATGTACATTATTTTCGCGCAGCCTTCCATTTCGTCCGTGAAAATTGATCACGGTGTCGATTAATCTGTGCATACAACATATGCACACATGCACCTCTTCAAACATTTTTCAATTGTATTTAAAGAAAGTAATAATGAATGCTTAGAACAATCAATTCTTTTGAATTGATCTCTTTTTTAATGCAAATTAAAACATCTCTTATATTCTTTTCTAAATAATAATAAGATAATAATACAATAATAAATTAAACGTTTATGTGAATATAATAATAGAAAAGGAGTAGTTTTGCTAAAGTAAAAATTTAGTTCATTAGAAATCTAAAAATTATTTTGTATGATCATCAAAATAATTATCTATGACTCTCAAACCGATTGCTAGAATGTCAAAACTTTTTGCACCATTGCTTATTATGTTTGAACGTCCTATATAATTATTTTAGTAGTTCAACTAAATTATACTTTCAGATCTCTGTATTTAGATACTTCGGTAAATCTTTAGACGTCTTTAGTTTCACTAAAATTGTCCTTTTCATGGATAAATCGAGGAGCGCTAAATACGGTTGAGGCTGAATCTTGGTGTTTAATGTGAATTACATACATTAAATATTGTGTCAATTATTAAATACTCTTTTCTTCCTACTTTACTTACATACTTTTTTTCTTCAAAATAGAAAAGAAGGCTGTGAGCTCTTTATGTTTTGAAGTACTTTGTACAATGTTAACATAAAATATTATAACGATAAAGCAGCTTGATGTCATACGGATATTGGAATTTTTATGATAATGTAACAAGCCACTTCAGATAAAAATAAGAGCACACACATCGAAGTGTATAAATAAAACTCATACTGAAACGCACGGTGGGGATTTTCTTTCTTCCGCACCTTCCAGTATGCGCTATAAATGTCACCGTGTTCTTAACGCGTGATGCCGCCGAGGGCTGGAAAAGACGTGACCGCAGCAAGGTGAAGTCCACGAGCGTCTTTTACGAGTTAAATACACATCAGCGATCGAACATTCTATTTTTTCATCAAATCTACGTCCCTTCCGTTCCTCTCTCCATTCGCTCTTCGCTTTATTCGCTCGCGCTTTTTTTCCTCGCACGTTCTTATTTAACGAGAGGTCGTCCACAAGTGGCACGAATATAACACAGCGGGTGAAGTTCTGCGTGAGAGCGTGCGTAACTCTTGATAAGGCGAATCAATATTATTCAATTCTGATAACGGTCCTCATTGCGGCAAGTAGGGAGAGAACGCATTAATCATGCAATGAGCTGATAAGAGATTTTCCGTTGACTCGCGAATGCTTCGACACAGTACCCGTGTGCCTATGTTTCTTTTTTTCGTTGAAAAGTGTCGATATCACGATAGCACGGATCACTGCGTTAGACATGAACTTTCCAAGGACATTGGAAAATTATTCGTATTAATTGCGCCGATGTGCGAGTGTGTACGATTATTTTATTTTTGTTATTATTATTAAGAATTAAAAATCGTTTAATATTTTTGAAGTTAATTATGCGTTCCATCGGGTAAAAGTATTTAAATTTGTTTAATTGGTATCTATTTATCATTAACGTTCTAATACATTTTAATGGAATTATGAGAGCTTTTTGTAAAAAAAAAACATTTTTTCTGCCATCGCTTTGATTTAATTACAAGAAAAATATTTTTTTTTTTAGTAATCATGCGGTTTCAAACAAATTTTATTTCTATTTTGTTCTCTTGCTAAGAGTACAAGAGAGAGAATTTAATAATTCAGTGAAATTGATCATGTCCTACTAATTATGCTAATTACAATGTACATATCGCGAGGAACCTAACGAAAACAATTGTTGGATCGAAAGCATTGTAATAATGTGAGACTATAGATGATAGTGTCCGTTGATGCGAGAAATATTGTAAGGATGTTCTTTATTCAATGATTTCTTTCGTCGTGTATTGTCCGATCATTATTATTTGCATAGCTATCACGATGACTTAACGTAGGAAACTCACATGGACCGGTGTCTGTAATTTGAATTTCCGATGCGCTTATACAAGTTCTACATAGATCTCACGAACTAGGTGGAGTTATTTAATTCTTTAATACAATTTACGTTTTTCATTGGCATATTAAAAAATTGTTATACCTAAGAAAATTATAAAAGAAAAATTAATATAAATTTAATGTTGAAAAAATATATAGGATCATTGATGATTTTAAAACAGTCGAC